GAAAAAGCATCTTTGGGACAACCTTGACCTGGATGACTCAGAATCTCCATAGACATTTTTTTACTGGCAATAAAATGAGAATAAGTGCTGAAAGAAATGGAGCTTTTTATTGAGTACTTGAATTACTGAATTATTACACTAAATTATTATTCTTGATCACATGAATTACTGAAAAAGGGCTTTTGAAAGAATTAAGTCCATCCAGACCACAACTAAACTTCATCTTCAGCTGTCTCTTAAAACGGATAAGATGAATTTTGAGTCTGTCTCTCAGGGGTTGGTAAATTTGCAAGATGTACAATACTGTTGTTGTGGTTCATAAAAGTAAAAATCTACACAAGGCAACTTGTTATGGGGCTTGCAGGCATCAAGTTATGATAGAACATAAAATGCTGAATTAATATGATATCTTTCATTGTTGCCTCATAAGAAATGTTTTATCTTGAGTAAGTTCATTGACCAGTTCCTATGTAGCAGTCTCATTTTTCTTAGAGAAAAAAACACACATACACAAAGCCACACACTGCAAAATGAAGCCTGCCCCATCTTCTAGATGTTGAGAATCTTCCTCAGGGCCCCCTTCACTTCCTTGTTCCGGAGGCTGTAGATCAAGGGGTTCAACATGGGGGTGATGATGCAAAACATGGTGGAGATCAAGGTGTCCACCTCTAGAGAGTAGCCAGCACTGGGCTGGTTGTAGTTCACAAAGCCGTTTCCAACAAAGAGTGTTACTACAGCAAGGTGTGAAGCGCAGGTGGAGAAGGCTTTGCGCCTGCCGATCTTGGAGTGGATCTGCAGAATGGAGGACAAAATGTAGAAATAGGACAGGACGATGAGCAGAACAGGGACGAGACCCACCAAGATGCTGTTGATATAACTGACCAACGTGTTGACTGAAATGTCACTGCAAGCAATTTTCAACAATGGGGGGACATCACAAAACATGTGAGGGACCTGGAGGTGTCCACAGAAATCTAATCTAGAGGCCAGGGCAGCATAGATAGCGGAGTTCAGGAAGCCCCAGAGCCAAACGGCCACAGACATCTGGACACACAACTTGTCCCTCATCAGGTGGGCATAGTGCAAAGGTTGGCAGACGGCAGCATAGCGGTCATATGCCATGACGGACAGCAGGGCAGGTTCACATCCCGCAAAGCCAATCAGGAAGAAGGCTTGTGCCAGGCATTGGTTATAGGAGATGGCGTACTGCTGGCATAGGAAGTCCACCAGGATCTTTGGTACCACCACAGAGGACAGGCATATATCCAAGAAGGAGAGCTGGCTGAGGAAGAAGTACATGGGTGTGTGAAGACGGGAATCCAGGAGAATCAGAATTATGATCATGAGGTTGCTCATCAGAGTGACCAAATATTCAGTAACGAACACCAAGAAAAGGTGGATTTCATGACTAAGAAGGCTGGACAAACCCAGGAGGATGAATTCTGTCCCTTGGGTTTTGTTCTGGGCATCCATGAGAGAAAAAAAGAAACAGCTGGCAAAACAGAAAAATGCATGTCAAGAAAGCAAAGAGGAGTAATGAATTTTGGAGGACGCATGTAAGAGGTAAAAGGATAATGTCATTATTTGGGGTCTCTGTGGAGAATGAAATATTAAGAATCTCTTATACCTAAAGATAACCTTATTAAGAGTCAAATATATATGGGTTGATGTTTCAAGGATTTCCTTCCTTCCTTCCTTCCTTCCTTCCTTCCTTCCTTC